TTTCTGAGCCGGCCCTGCGGACTACTGCTCCTGGGCTCGGACCTGCTGGAACACCCTTGCCAGGCCCCCTCCCCGGGGCCCCATGTAGTCGTTGCCCCGGGGCCGAAAGCAGGTTCCAAAGGCAGAAGTCACGAGCGAACAACACCCATACCCATACCCATAGGGGGGCCGTTGGGAGGAGGACTGGCTATGGGTATATGTGCGGGTTGTCGGACCCTTTGGAACGCTCCCGTTCGAGCGGGGGCCCCCATTCGACAACGCGCACCCATAGCCCTCTCCGACCCCCCATATGGGTATGGGTGTGTGTTGTTGGTTCGTCAAGAAGGAAGGGTCGGGGTGGGCGTGGTGGTGGTGGGTGGCAGTGCCGCGTGGCGCTCGGTGCCTTCGGAGTCTACCCCCACCTGGCCGCGCAGAGGAACGTGCAGAACGGCCACTTGCCGCTCCGCGGAGCATGCTGTTTTTTAATAAGACTGCCAGGGTGGATACGAAACGATCCGATCCAGAGTTCTTCACTTCATTTTTGTTTTCCTGGGAATTGGGATCCCAGGTCAATAGGTACAGTCAGCAGGACCCCGTGAATGTTTTTCCTTATTCTTCTCACTATTATTGCTATCCCCTCTTCCCTTGTCTCTCCTCCTCCTCCTACTCCCTCCTCTCTCCTCCCTCCTCTCTCCTCACTTTTCCATCCTCTCTCCTCCCTCCTCCCTCCCTCCCTCCCTCTCTTTCCTCATTATCTCCCCCTCCCTGCCGTCCGTCCGTCCTCCTCCTCCTCCGATCCAAGAAATCCGCACAGAAAGTCGACAGTTTTGGTGCATACATTATGTGCTTATGTTTTTTCCTCCAGGTCAGTTTGCAGACCTCTCCTGGGCAGTTTTTTGAGTTACTTCCGGCCGCGACCACGAGGGTCCCCAGGAGGTGCCCCCATTGGCAGAAATAGCGTCAAAATCCTTCCTTTAAGTCGGGTGTGTCCATCATCAGGAGGAATATTCAAAACGAGTCGAAGAATAGTCTAGGGACAATGTTGTGAGTATTCTTTCAAACTATGTTTGAATATTTGTTGGATATTTTTTGATTTTCGCCCCAAATCCGCCTGTAGGAGGACATACCCGACCTAATCCTTCCTCTCTCCATCTCTTTTTTTGTATTTCTTCTTTTTCTCCTGGCCGCGGGCCACAGGCGGTCTTTGGGGCCGACTCGGGATTCTCTGGGGGGGTTCTCGACGAAGTGCAGCTGCTGGAAGTGGCTCCGACGTCAGAAAACAGACGAAGACGTGCGAAAACCTCTTCTCTTTCTCTATTTATCCTTTCTCCTCCTCCTTCTCCTCCTTCTCTTCCTCAACCTCCTCATCCTTCTCCTGGGGTTTCGGTGCCGAGTGCGGGGTGGTTGCGTTTCGCCCTGGGTTCGTGTCCCAAACGGGCTTTTGAGCTAACAAGCAAGTCCCAAGCAGTCCTCCTTTTCATCTTGCCTCCTCCTCCTCCTCCTCCCCCTTCTCCTCCCAGCCTCCTCCTCCTCCTCCTCCTCCTCCTAGCTTCCTCCTCCCAGCCTCCTCCTCCGCCTCCTCCAGGCCTGCTCCTGTGCCCTCCGGCCCTCCCGAGGCGGCTCCGGCGGAGCAGCCACCGCCGCACAGCCGCTCTTCCTGCGCGAGCTTGCGCCGTCGACCACGGAGGAGCGGGCCTCCCACCCGCGGGAGGACGAGGAGGCACGGTGGTCTGTCAGTCGGTCTGTCGGTCTGCCTGTCGGTCTGTCTGTCTGTGTGCGTGTGTGCATGCAAGGCTGTAGGTATGTAGCCACGCAGCAATACATGCATGTATATGTACACTTGTGTACATAATCATCTATACAAACATATTCATACATCCTATATCAATGTCTGCGCATGCATGTATGCATGCATGTATCCATGTATGCATGCATGCATGCATGCATGCATGCATTCATGCGTGCGTGCATGCATGCATGCGTGCATGCAAGCATGTTTGCAGGTCTGCGTATATGATTGTATGCATGTATTCATGAATGCATGCATGCCTGTATGCCCGTATTCATGTATGCATGCATGCATGTATGCATGCATGTGTGCATGGATGCACGTGTGCATGCATGTATGCAGGTATGCATGTACGTATGTTTGTGCGTTTGTGTATGTATGCGTGTGCATGAATATATGCATTTCTGCATGCATGCACGCATGTATGTATGTATGTATGTATTTGTGTATGTTTGAACGAATGTATACATGGATATATGCATGCGTGTATGTATGTATGTATGTATGTATGTATGTATGTATGTACGGACGTACGTCTGTATGCATGCATTTATATATGCTTGTACGTATGTAGTTATGCATGCATGCATGTATGTATGTGTTTTGTATGTATGCGTGCATGTATGTATGTATGTGTGCATGTATGTGTGTGTATGTATGTATGCATGCATGCATGTATGTATGCATGCATGCATGTATGTATGTATGCATGTATGCATGATGTATGTATGTATATCTATATATATGTATGTAATATGCATGTATGTGTCTATATGTGTACGTATGCATGTATGCATGCATGTACGTATTTACACATATTTGTTGGTATGCCTGTTTGTATATAGATACACATGTATTGGAACGCAGGTCTGTATGTATGCATGCACGTATGGGTTATACATGTGCACATGAATGTATATGTGTATGTATGCACGTGCTGATGTGTGTGTAACTGTGCATCTACGCACATATATTTGTGTATATACATATGTATACATACATACATACATATACATGTACATGTATGTGTATATATATATATATATAGAGTGGAACCAATCTCACGCACCGTGTTCCCGCCCCTGTCCTTCTTCCTTCTTCCTCCTCTTCCTCCATTCCATCCTCTTTCCCCGCCGGTGCCTCCTGCACTGCCGGGCCGCTGCCGCACCTCCTTCCCGGCAGTGCGCGCCACGGCCGGTTTTGGTCATCACTCTGCCCGCTCCCCGCCTCCTGCTGCTGCTCCTCTTCGTCGCTCTTGGCCTTGCAGGGCCCCCAGGCCGCAGGCGATGTTTCTACCCCAACCCACAAACACGAAAAGGCCAACAAAAAAAAGGGGAACCCTGATATACTTCCCAGGAGGCTATTCGGATGCACCCCTATCCAGGTCGGACGCCCCCCCTCGTATATCCCAGGATTGGGCCCAAATTTCTGGCCGATTCAGAAACCCAGCGAAGCCTGGGATAGGGGTCGCAATATCCCCTGTTACCAGGCCTTTGTGGGCCATCTAGGGCTCCTCTTCGTTGTCCTTGGCCTCAAGGGCTTCCAGGAGGAGGATGAGGAGGAGGAGGAGGAGGAGGAGGAGGAGGAGGAGGAGGAGGAGA